AAAGAAAGAAAGAAAGAAAAGAAAAAGAAAAGAGGAATCAGGCCCAAGTGTGGTCCTCCCGCAGGTGGAGGAAGTTTCCTACGGGTGGTTTTTAGTTCCCAGTTCTCAGAGGAAAGGAGACGTTCTAGTTTCTGATGCACTTTCCGTCCATCCACATCCGTCCTTACTCTGGGCAGGCCGAGGCTTGCGGCTGTCTCCCGCCGGGCCACTGAGGGATGTGAGGTCCCGGCCGGGCCTGCGCGGGGAGAAGTGAACATTCTCGAGGGTCCCGAGGAGTTTTCGGGTCCAGATCCCCTCCTTGCTGAAGACAGGATGAGCTCGGAGCGCTGGGATTTCCCCAGCCCGGGAGGCTGAGTCAGCGGGGAGCCCGGGAAACCAGGACTCTTTCAGGGCGGGGTGATCGCAGGTGCGGAGCTCGGCGGCTCCCTGGCTGAGTGCCCGGGGTTTCGCCAGGTGATCCGGCTGTTCTGGTGGCCAGGCTGGCGGCCAAGCCCTCCTCCTCCTCTCCCGAGGAGCCAAGCCTGGGAAGGGTGGTCCAGGCAGCCGAGGGCAGGGTTAGGCCAATGAACGTGGGTTTGCTCCGGCCACTTCCACCAAGTACCAGGAGACAGTAGAAGTGGGGTTCCTCCTGGAGTTTTTCGGGTTTGTTTTTTATTCACTCCAGGGGATTGAGCTTGGGACTTTTGCATTGGGCTGCACCCTCAGTGTCTTAGTCTTCATTTTATTTTATTATGTTATCTTATTTTAATTTAGAGTCACAGTCTTGTTATGCAGTTCAGGCTGGTCTCAAATCCACCTCATAGCCCAGGCTGGCCTCAGACTCACAGTGATCCTCCTGCCTCAGCCTCCCGAGTGCTGGGATGACAGGGTGTGGGCCATCAGACCTGTCTATCTTTTTTATTTTGAGACAGGATCTCTCCAAATTGCTACATCACCCCAGCTGGGCTCAAACTTGCTCCTCCGGTCTCTGTCTTCTGAGTGCTGCGGTGAGGGTGTGCAGGACCCTGCCCTGCTTTCTGGATCTGTCTCCTGCCTGCTCTGAGCCTGTGACTGCCAGAGATCTCTGGGCTTTCTTGGCCCCACTGTCCCTTCTGTCTCTGCCTGCTTTTCTCCTGTTTCTGCCCCTCCTTTGTCTCTAAAGACACTTGTAACTGGACTTACGGTCCACTGTACCCCACCACAGGTGACTGCATCTGACTATACCTACAAAGGCACTCACCCCCAATAACGTCACACTCTGAGGTTTGGGGTGCGCATGCATTGTGGGGAATACAGTTCAACCTTCTACAAGAGGGACAAAGATGAGGCCAGCATGGCCAGCACAGTGAGAGTGGGGCCAGCCACACAATGAGGTTAAAAACCCTGTCATGTGAAAATAATAAAAGACTTGGAGAGTTCCAAAACACAGCAGGAGCTCAACTCCTAAAATGTACACATCTGAGAGGCATGGTGGTACATGTCTGCCATCCCAGAATTTGGGAGGCTGAGGCAGGAGGATTGTCATGAGTTCAAAGCCAGCTTGGACTATATAACCAAGTTCAAGGCCAGCAAGCCCTACATAATGAGACCATGTCTTAAAAAAAAGAAAAAAGAAAAAAAAAAAACTCATAAAATACACACATCTGAGCTCGGCACGGTGGCCCACACCTGTGTTCTCAGCACTCAGGAAGCTGAGGCAGGAAGATTCCTATGAGTTCAAGGCTGGCCTGGGGAACACAGTGAGTTCAAGGGCAGCCGGAACTACAGTGTGAGATCTTATCTCTAAATAAATAAATCACAAATAAGCAAATATGCATATGTGTATAATATATACATGAAACAAGAGACTATCAGAGAAACACTGACGGCTCAGTGATTAGGGTGAGGGGACCACAGGTGACTTTCATTTTCTTTTTTGGCTTTTCCTTCTTTTCTAAAGCGTCAGCAGTAAGTGTATATTGCTACTGTAATTTTTTTAAATGTATTTGGTGCAGGGTCTCACTATGCAGCTTGGACTCATAGTGATCTGGGATCAAACCCCAGTCGCCGTGCTTGCGTAAGCAGGTGCTTAGCCTGCTGCGCTATCTCGCCCGCTCTGCTCCTATAATTATTAATAAAGATCGGCTGCCGTGAAGAGATAGCATATTTAGTTAGCTTTAGCATCCTAGATTACCAACAACAGGGGTTTTTGTCCCTTCCCAATAGCAGTTTTTATGAATTGTTCCTTAACACTTCCGATTCTTGTCCAAGGTCCACTAAGATAGGAGCAGGCTGGGTTGGAGCTCAGGGGTAGAGCGCTTTCCCAGCATGCACCCGGTCTGGGGTCCAGCCGCACACTATGAATGAATGAGAGTGCAAACCATGGACTAAACCCTTGGTGTGTTCATGTGGTCCCCAGGCAGGAAGGGCCCCGTGGCGCTGGGTTAACTAGTGGTCAACCGGGAACACCTGGCAGAATCGCGTCAGCATAGTGAAGGATTGGTGCCCATGAAATTAAAAGGAGAACTGGAGGGAAGATGGGGCGCTACTGAGCCTCTTGGAGACACTTGTTGGCTGGCTTTCCTGACATGAACCCCGCTGTTCTCACTGTCGGAGGAGCGTGGGCCCTCACTGTCCCTGGGAATGGCGGTGGTTCTCTTTGGGGCGCTCTAGTCCTCCCCTTGAGCGTCGCCTCCTAGTTCTAGGGCAGAGCCCTCAGCTGCCGAAACAGAGCCTTCATCCTGCTGGCGCAGACCTTCTGGCCTCCACCACTGACCTCCGGGCCTTCCCAGCGCAGGTCCTTGGTGCAGACCTGCCTGGGACGTTGTCACGGGCTTGTGGCCTCCAGCTGAACAGCGGGACATCACCGAGGGATCCAGGCCTGCAGCTGAATGGATGCTTTGGGTCTCTGCTGTGTGCACAGTCCCTGCAACGCCTCTGCACTTGACTCTTCGGGTGACTATTATTACAGAATCCTACAAATTACGTGTTCCGTATTAAATTTATTCCCTTGCAAACTCTGACAACAACACCCACCATGCACCGAGTCAAGGGGCTTACAGAAACATCTGTTGGGTGCCCCGATTCTCCTGGGGCCTCCCCAGAGTGGGACCAGGGGGTGTGGGGGGCGTGGGCCCCCTGCATGGGCACTGTGCGGACACAGCGTAGGTTGGACCCTCAGAAGTAAGTAGTGTCCTGGGGTGGAGACACCATTGCTTGCACAGCAGCCTCCCCCTGGAGACCCCCGGGCGGCGCTCACGGGCTTCCTGCTCAGGCCCCGTTCCGGCTAGCGGGAGATCGACTGCCTTGCCCCGATAGCTTTTATTTATTTATTTATTTATTTATTTATTTAACCGGGGATTGAACTCAGGTCCTTGCGCTTGCCAGGGAAGCGCTTATTCCACTGAGCCACCTCCCCGGCCCGCCCTGATAGCTTTTATTTTTTGGCGGAACCAGGGATTGAACTCAGACCCTTGCGTTTGCCAGTCAAGTGCTTATCCTACTGAGCCATCTCCCCGGCCCCCAATAGCTTTTAAATAATAACCCCCTCCTTCATACAGAGCTATATCCCTAACCTCTTTTTTTTTCCAATCATATTTTATCGTTACATTTTTTAAAAATTATTTATTTATTTATTTATTTATCTATTTAGCTCGGACTCATAGTGATCCTCCTGTCTCAGCCTCAGTGCTGGGATTATGGGCGTGCACCACCACACCCTGTTTCAGGGCCAGCATGCATGCAGTAACCAGGGATCAAACCCGGGTCCTTGTGCTTGCTTGACAGGTGCTTAGATAGCCGAACTGTCTCCCCAGCTGTATTGATACATTTTAGATAACATAATGATCACATTTATCATAGAGAATTTATGATATCATTTTTTTTCTTTTTGAGAATTTATACCTTTTGCATTTTTTTTTTTTTTCCCCGGAACCGGGGATTAAACTCAGGCCCTTGTGCTTGCCAGGGAATGCTTATTCCACTGAGCCGTCTCCCTGGCCCCTGCACCTTTAAATGATATAACTTCTTTCGTTTTTTTTTTTAACATTTTTTAAAAATTATTTATTTTTATTTATTACATTTATTTATTGTGTGTGTGTGTGGCCAGCTCAGCCCACCGGGGGCGGGGCCGGCCGGCACGTGGCGCTGGGGGATCGAACCGTGGTCCCTGTGCTTTGCCAAGCTTGTTTCAAGTAGGTGCTTTAGACCACCGAGCCATCTCCCCAGCCCCATTCTTTCGTTTTTTTGAAACAGGGACCCACTAACTTACTAGATCGTCCAGGGTAAACTTGAATTTGGGATTTTCCTGCCTCAGCCTCTCAGAGTAGTGGGATTACACGCTACCATGTCGAGCTGAAAATTAAAAAAAG